AGAATAAAGGTCAAATTCTACCTTACACATGTATGAAATGAACAGTTGTACTATGGTGATGTGCTGCCAAGATTTGAACAATGGGGTCTTTCAGAAATGTTCCTCCTCCTCCAGTGATAAACTCTGTGTGGTGACATGTGTGTGCACACAGAGGAGATGAGAGGACCTGAGCAATATATGCCTTTTTTTTTTTACTTTTTAAACCAAAGTGGATTTTTTAGAACCCAGAAACCAGAGGGCCTGTGGTAGCTCACTAATGTGTAGTTTCTGTTCATCTGGGCACAATATGTGACTTGTGGCTTTAATTGGTACTAGCATGGCTAATATAAAGAGGCACAGTGAGAGGGTTAACTTACACATTTGACGGTACCACAGCAACATATGTTATATATTCCCATATGTAGAGCCTATTGAAGATGTCATTTGGTGTGACTAGAAGAGGAAAATGACATTCACAGTATTTTTATGACCTCTGTCTCATTATACTTCTGTATGTGGGTAGATTAAAAAAAATAAAGTCTTTGGCAACAGTTATTGCATGCATGTGGTGTGAACACAGAGATTTTTGGACCGGTAGAGGATTCAGCCCATTTTATTGTAGTCATAAAGACTGTGCTGCAATAGGTTCTACATAAAGCTTTCTCCTGTTGAAGAAGAATCTCTATGAATAAAAGCAATAGACAACATAATAATTTTGTCGAAGGTTGAATGGCAGCATTCATTGCAATGTGTCCCAGGATAAACTTTTCGGTGGAGAAGAATGACATTGTTTAATCTTATTTCTCATTGATGGGTAAATTCCATATATAATTAGGTTACTGTTTCTTTGACTCCCTTTCTCTCTTCCATCCAACATCTTAACTGTGATGGCAGTTTGTGGCTAAGCCTGGCTAGCCACAGTCAACTGCAGTTAACTAGACAACCTTGCTAGTTTGGTGTTGTGCCTGAGACAGTATTTCATGCCAAGGACATGCTCAGTGAGGCAGAGGAGCTCCGCAGGTACAAAACTTAAAAAGAATTAAAATAGTTATGGATAGATGTCATGGGGGAAAATGGACACTTAACTAACTCTGAATGAGGATATTTTTACTTATCTACAGTCAATGTCAGAGGTAGGCTACGATCTGAAACACTGGCTTTGGGATGGCTGGAAAAGGCTATCCCTCATCACTGAGGAGAAGGTAGATCCAGAAGAAGAGGTATGATTGGTAGTGCAAACTCCTCCCCACCACAGAGATCTAACACTGAGATCTTCAGAGAAAAGGGAAACTAAAAATCTGCAAGGTTGTTGGTCTTTGAAACCTCTCAACTGTTAAATCAGTGCAATTCTGTAGATCAAGATCCCAGATCATGGCCCAAAGCAGGTGGACCAGAAAGAGCTACCTGACATCCCAGGAAGGTGCTCCTACACCTTTTACATGTTTTAGAACCTTTTTCATCCAGAAGCTGGAGACCTTCTAGTGTTCTGGTAGAAAAAAATATGAAATAGTTCTCCATAGAATTTTTTATTTGGAAAGTAGGTACACTAATTGAATCTGTTTCCAGTGTGGTTTCCTTTCCATATCACCCAGTAATCCTGGTGGCCTACTTGGGAATCAAAAACATCTTTATTCCTAAACATAGCTCTGAGGGCTGTGATCAGAATTTCAGGGGTCCAAGATGCTGGAGTAGCCTGCCAGCTTGATGCGTGGAGATGGCTCTCCCTTCACTTCCACTGCAAGATTTGGAAGTTTGTGGCAGATTTTTTCAAGTACCTATTTTTGAAATAGCAAAATCTTATATTTGCCATGCTGTATCTTTAGTCCCATTTAGAAGTCCAAATCACTTTCTTGCACTTGGTGCCCAGTTTCTGATAGTGACCATTACTACGTGCTGAGAAAGATGCTGCAATGTAACTTAAAATCGCAACTGTGGAACTTGTCTGCTCACATTTCCCCCTGCCATTGATGAGGAACATGGAGGCTCTGTGTTTTCTGAAAGATTCTGAAAGTTACACTTTGTCTGTAAGTTATATTTAAAAAAAAATCTTGAAACCTGAACAGCTTACAGTAATTTAAAAATACTCCTGAAATTGTCAGCATTTCCGCTTCTAAAGGAGCACAGTGTACACTGTTACTTTTATCTTTACTGTACAGTGTGTCTGCTTACAAAGAAAACACTCTGAAGTTTTCAGGTGTATAAAATACACTGCTTGGGTAGTGCTTTGAAGCCTAAGCAGTTGCTTCATTCTGTTGGTTTTGGTGGTGGAACTAAAGCTGAATTAATGCAGTATTCAGTATTTTTTCTGAAATGAATGGATTAGGTCACTCTTTTACTCCCTTTGTGTTTCCTCTGTAAAATTTTTAGAGATCTGAGTTTGCTGTAGTTATTTGATTCAATTTTTCAAGCAAACATTTGTAGAAAAAAATTTATTGTAGTGGACGGATGTTGTGGGAATGTGGAGGTTGGTTTATTTTCCCCTCCTCATGAAGTGAATTTTGCAAATAACAATTATTGTGGCATTTATCTAACCACTTGCTGCTAAGGAGCAGTGTTTCAATGTCTGATGGAGCATTTTAGGCATATCAAGAATTGTTTACAATCAATCCAGTAAGGAACATGACTGGAATAAATTTAAACAGTGAACATGGTTCTGAAAACAATTATGCAAAAAGGACTTCAGCAAAATCTAATTATTTAAAATTGCACTTTCATAAACCCCAAAAATGTGTTTACAAAAATGTAACCTTAAAAGTGATAAAACTCTGTAATCAATTTGTCGTCTTGAAGCATTTTTTACTATAGGCAGTTTTACCTTTTATGGTAGCTTCTGTGATTTTTTTCTCTGCAATGTAGCTCTCAGCAGTCCCTTTTTACTTGTGAGAATGTTCTTTTTATTCATTCTCTTATTTCAAAGCATAAGATGAAAATAAGCAAGTTACTTTGGTTTAATGAGGCAGATTTAGTGATTTCCTTTTGCTTATTTTATCCATGACATATAATTTACTGTGATTGGTAACATGAAAACTCAAGCTTTAACAACTCAGTTATGCTTCTTCAGCTGCTGCAGTCTAGGATTCAGCATACCTGATCGAGGCTGGGACCAAAAAGGATGGAGTCTACCTACTGCCGTGGGTAGTGACTGGTCCACAGTAACCATGTGGACATAGAGAGAATATTACAGAGAATTAGATAATCAGTTGTTTTTTCATGTGCTGGTGGAGGATGCAGGATGCATTAAGGAAGGAAGATGGATTAGGAGAATGGAATGGAATAGAATAGAACAGAACAGAACAGAATAGAACAGAGCATTTCAGTTGGAAGTGACCTACAATGATCACCTAGTCCAACTGCCTGACCACCTTGGGGCTGGTCAGGAGTTAAAGCCTGTTATTAAGAGCATTGTCCAAATAACTCTTTAACGCTGCCAGGCCTGGGGCATCAACCACCTCCCTAGGAAGCCTTTATGAGTCTTTGACCACCCTCTCCATAAAGAAATTCTTCCTAATGTCCAGTCTAAACCTCCCCTGGTGCAGCTTTGAACCATTCCCATGTGACCTGTCACTGAATACCAGAGAGAAGAGATTCACACCTCCCTCTTCACTTCCCCTTCTCAGGAAGCTGCAGGGAGCAATGAGGTCACCCCTCAGCCTCCTTCTCTCCAAACTAGACAGGCCCAAATTCTTTAGATGCTCCTCATAGGACATGCGTGCCAACCCTTTCATCAACTTTGTTGTCGTCCTCTGGAAATTTTCAAGGACCTTCACAAGCTTTTTAAATTGTGGGGCCCAGAACTGCACACAGTGTTTCAGGCGAGGCTGCACCAATACTGAACACAGCGGGATAATCACCTCTTTTGAGTGGCCGGTGACGCTGTGTTTGATGGACTCCAGGACAGGGTTTGCCCTCTTGGCTTCAGGACACACTGCCAACTCCTACTGAGCCTACTGCTGACCAACATCTCCAGATCCCTTTCTGCAGGGATGCTCTCCAGCAACTCCTCTCCGAGTTTGTACTTGTGCCTGACATTAATCTGTCCCAGGTGCAGAATCTGGTATTTCAACTTGTTAAACTTCATGCCATTAATCACTGCTCAATGCTCCAATCTATCTAGATCCCTCCGCAAGGCCTCTTGTCTTTCAAGAGAGTCAGCAGCACCTCCCAGTTTGGTATCATCAGCAAACTTAAGAATGGTGCATTCAATTCCTGCTTGCAGGTTGTTGATAAATGTATTGAACAGAACTGGCCCTAAAATTGAGCCCTGAGGAATGCCACTGGTGTCTGGTCACCAGCCAGATGTAGCCCCATTCACTACAACCCTTTGAACTCTGCCCTTCAGCCAGTTCTTCACCCAGCACACCGTGAACTCCCTCATCCCACATCTGGACAAATCGTCCTGAAGGATGCTGTGAGGGACAGTATCTAAAGCATTACCAAAAACCACATCCATCACCTTCCCTTCATCCACTGGGTGGGTGACCTTGTCATAAAAGGATATCAAATTAGTTAAATAGGACCTTCCTTTAGTGAACCACTGCTCTGTTAATCTCTGAAATAGAAGTATTTGATTTCTTAATTTCAGTCATTTTTTTAAACACAGTAATAGACTGATGGTAGCTAAGTTGGAGTGTTGTACTTTGCTCTTTGATGTTTCATAAAATTTTTATCCTTTGCTAAAATTAGTTAGATTTTTTCTATTTATGTGTTTAATTTTTATTTGATTTAAAGGAAATGTTACCACTTATGAAAAATTTTATCCAAGTCAAGTATGCTTTCCATTCAGAATACCAAAGTACTGTATACTTCCATAATTTGACTGAAAGCATATAGAAAGCAGCAATTTTCTTACCAGTATGTGACTTCTGCATAACTTGCTGCCTTGGTTGCAGAAAAGACCCCTGAAAGTTTTAGGGTGCAAAACTTAGTGCTTTAAGAAGCATTATTTAGTTGTGGATTTTATGTGTAGATAACTAATGAAACATCAATTTTATTGATGTATGACTGACCTTTTATTTCCTCAGCCATCATGTACGTAATGGGAGCACTTGGACCTGCAGCTGGATACTTGCTAGGAGGACTTCTTATTGGTTTCTATGTCGATCCTAGGACAACTGTTTATATTGATCAGAGTGATCCCCGATTCATTGGAAACTGGTAAGGATCAAGCATTTTTCAAAACTACTCTCTAAATTTCTGGTAGGGAATTTAGACAGGTTGGAAAATTGTATCCCTGGAGGATTTGTTTTAGGTTGTAGAAGGCGGCTAAGGAAAATGATGTTTCTGTCAATTACTGCACAGTAGCCTCTGGCAGAGAGGAGAAGTTTGCCACAGAATTGTGCAGGAACGTTGCCTGGAAGCTCCCCTGCTTTGGCTGCTCCAGGGTTGTCTCTGACCACAGTGTGCTCTGACTGACAATGCTCAGGGATGGTGGGGTGGGATATCAATATTGCAGGAGAGCATCGAGGATCACTGCTGCCTAGAACCAACCCCTTCCTGCTGGAAGGTGGATTAATCTCTTCTTTGGTTTTTCAGAGGAGGCAGCATGAAACACTGAGCTCTGGGTGGCTAGATGAGAGAAACAGTAGACTTTATTTACTCCAGTCCAGGAGAAGGAGATGGGATGGGGTCAGAACATGCCCTTTCCAGTCTTTGTTTCTCAGGGTGATGGCTTGTGTTTAGGCAGCAGACGAGGTGTAACAGCTGTAATTGTTAACTGATGTCTTCAGGCAGACTTTGAGATGTGGCCTCCTTGGAAATGTCTCTTTGAGGAAGCAGGTCTTGAGGAGGCTTTAACTGCCTTTTCTCAGATATTTCATAAATCTTCCTTGAAATTTTCATTGAAGCCCAGAAAGGACTGAAGCTCACTATCCCAGGAAGAGACTTCTACTTTGTAGGTATAAGGCGCAGTGTGTCAGTTCTCATGCTCTGGGTTACTCTTTGTCACTGCACCATTGCAGTCAGTTTGTAGCTGTTTCTATTTATTCTGCAGTGATCTCTCCTGAAGGTTTGATATGAAAAATTCTCTCGTTGGAGTCTTCTTAAACCTTTGGAGATTTAGTCCTGCTTTATTTGTCTTAGTCCAACAGCATTGCTGCACAGGACTGTCTAGCCGAATACACAGGACTGTCTAGCCAAATTTTGGGCAAGAGGAGGGCAAAGCTGAGTACTAAGTGTGGCCTTGGGGTTAGTGACTCTGTGTTCTAGTGTATCCACTGGCTTATCTCACTGAAAAGATTTGTCCTGTGAATGTACTTCTGTGTCAAAAGCTTGCTTAGAGTATTCTAGGATAAAAGATTTGAAACCAAAGCAAAATATTATACATTCTTCGCAAAACTGTTACATTTCATGTGTTTTTAAGGACATGTCAGAACTGGTAATCAGCATCTGATCAATACTTTTTGACAGAAATCATAAACAAGCCCATAAATATATTTGTTAATTGAAATCAGTGGAGCTGTATGATTGTGGGATAAACTTTTTTTAATCTATAACTCAAGCACTGATATAACTGCCTTATTGTGTGGGTAAACCTGTGTGAGTTTTAACTCATACAGCTCCAGCAAAAGTAAAATAGCCAAAGCAGCACAGACACATCACTTTGCTGCTTCTAAGGCCACTTGTACCAGGCTCTGTGTCACAACAGATGGATGGCCACTGCTGGTTTAAAGCTAGCTTGGATATATATGCAATGTTGGTGTAGCCACGTGTGTAAGAGAAGTCAGGCAAAAAAAAAAAAACCTGTTCTTGCTCATGAATTACCATCCATTTACCATTACCAATTACCATCAGTTTAACCATCCATCCTTGTATGAGTGGCAGGAATAGATGCACAGTGCCAGGGATAAATCCCTGGCACCCTGTGGGAATGCTGTAACTACCAAGCTCCATGGCAGAACTGGTGATAAGTCGCCTATGAAAACCATTTCTGTGGGCAGGCTTTGAGAACATCTACTGTACCAGACCTTGAAAGCAAAATAGGAGAAAAAGTCTAGTTTGTGTGTTCAGAAGATTTCAGGTCAAATTGCTAAATAGATTTTATGTATCTCCAAAGTTTAATGTCACTTGAACAAGTATCTTGGTGATTTCAACTTTGTACAGGGGTGCCAGCAGAGGTGATGCAAATATGACTGAAGCAGCAGCAGGAAGTCAGCTGTCATAGGATCTCAGCAGGCGAGTTGTATTCTAGGCAGCATAGAAAAGTAAAAGTCATTCAAAGTTTCCTTATTCCATCATGTTGATTAAAGTATGGCTTTCTCTGAAGGGTGTTCCAGGTCCTTTTATTACTTTTTCATTTTTGACTATCTCAGTTTTTTCTCTCTTAAATTTCTAAGGAGTATCCCCCGCTATCAGATCTCTGGTGATTTGTTGCACAATCTGTGGTGGCCTCTCATAAAAGTTTAGTGGCATTCATAGCATCTGCATCTCATTCTCTTTTCTCTTTCTGAAGCTGTGTCTACCAATTAAAATGAAGATTCGCATGGTGCGAGGGTTAAACCTTTTTCCCTTGCCACTCACTGACTGCCTGGCTGTAGATAATTCTGGAAGTGTAGACTTTCATTCCACTGAAATCTATTTTCTGGGACTGTGACATTTTCTCCTTGCGGGGAAGTGCTGCATAGTCAAGTTTATTTTTATTTATGCAATTTAACAATTTGAAATGTAAGAGTAGTCTAGCACTTACTTCAGCTGACACACTTTTTAAAAGTAGGGTTCAGTTGAGATAAGTTAATGGGAAGTCATATATGAGATTTTCTGAGTCTTGTCTCCTTTGAAGTGAATTAGTGTCTTTGATTCCTATCTTTTCTTTATTATAGCTATAAGGTTTCTAATGTAACTTATCACAGGACCCTGTGAAAAATTTCCATTGTTAAAGGGAGTAATGATTACAGACAAAATAGTGAGTACAATAACTATGATATGTGACCAATAAAAAAACAGTATAGCCTGTTTTTTACTTAAGCTGTTCCATTCTAGAAGGTTTATCAGAGGACACGTAATTGGGTTTCTCTCTCAGGAAACCTGATAAAGTAAGTGGTTATTTTTCAGGGTTATTTCTGATATGATTCTTCCTTGAGTGTCACGGGACTTGGGTTTGTGCTCCTGGGTTTTGCACACCTGGGCTTTCTGTAGGTGCTCTGGGCTAAGTTACAGGCCAGCTGTCTATGCCAGCACATCAAATGTTTAAAACTGCTTTTTATTCAGATGTGGTAACTGTAGGGATATCTGTTAGAAATCATTCATCATGTTGTTGTCTTTCAGAGCTGTTAATGTGCTATATAGGGACCTTGTTAGTTGTGGAGTAGCCCTTGGCGGTCTGTCAGGTGCTTTGAATCAAATTTTCTTTTGCTGATGCTTTTCTGAGTGTTTTCCTAGTACTGAATCTGTTTAATACTTGGATCTTTCTATATAGTCTTTCATCAACATTCCACACAAGAAGTTTAAAGGAATTCCTCAAGCACTGTCTGGTTCTTCCTTAGCTTTAATTGCTTTTATTTGAGGTCCTAGGGCTTGTGGAGATGCCTTTGAGGTATTCTTCTGCATATTTTCTTTGACTTTAGAAGGCAGAAAATCAAGGGCTTTTTAATTAATACAGATCCTGTTCTGACCTCTCAATTTCCCGTTGTAGGTGTCCTTATTATTTTTGATACCATCTTTTGTCTGTTTTCCAATTCTTTGATATATCTTGAGGAAGTTGTGAAATGTAGACAGTGCATATAATTGCATCCAGTGCTGCACTTGTGACATCTCTAGCATTTAGTATGCTATCATAATGGTCCCTTTGGATTTAAATTTCATCTCATGCTACATTACAGCCCTGTCTCCTCTGCTGTTTCCTCCTGAGTGGGTGGTTGCAGATTTCTGCTTACTATTGCCACAGATTGTTTCTTTGATCAGTGCCTTTGCAGCTTATGCCTTTGAGATCCTGAAAGGGATGTTACTACATTTATATACAGTCTGCCGATTTATTCTGTCTGACAGTGCTGACTAATCCTCCTAAAAGTCTGCTTTCTAATCCATGTATGTTATCAGCTAAAATGAATGAATAGAGGATTTTCTGTTTACATAATATCAAAATTAGTCAAAACTTTCAGTCACTTAAATTTGCCTTGCAAAAGCTTCCTGTAAGCTTCTTCTAACAAAAATGGTGTTACACATGGCTGTTTGTTTGTTGTTAGCCTGTGTTGTAACCATTTACCATACAAACCATTACACATGCATATGAATTAGCCTTCATTGAAAAATACAGTTGCAATATCTTTGCATTACAGATATGAGGGCAAATGTTTTTTATTTTTTGTGCAAGTAATCCTATCTACTCAGAACTTTTAAATGTTTTAAGTTTGAACATATATATAATCAGTACTGTAAAGGTCGTACAAAAATATGTAAAAATTGTTCTTGTATTGGGTTCGCATGGCAAGGTTTTGGTAGTGGAGGGCCTACAGGGGTGGCAGAAGCTGCTGGAAGCTTCTACTATGTCCAAGGGAGCCAATGCTAGCTGGTTCCAAGAGGAGACTGGCCAAGATTGAGACCACTAGTGATAGTGGTAGCATCTTTGGGATAGCATATTTAAGAAGGGGGAAAAAAAAAGTGTGCAACACCAGAAGTAGTCAGAAGAGACTGTTCTACATCCTCCTTTAAGAGGGATGCAGGAGGCTGGGTCAGTTTATAACATTTTGTCTCTGTTTCTTCTTCCTCCGAACACTCTTCCGCTGCTTCAGCATGGGGTTCCTTCCATGGCAGACAGTCTGTCATTGACTGCTCCAGAATGGGTCCTTTCCACATGGTGCAGTGCTTCAGAAACAGAATGCTCCAATGTGGGTCCCCCATGGGTCACACATCCTGTCCGAAAACCTGCTCCTGTGGGGGCTTTTCTCCACAGGCCACGGTTTCTGCCAGGAGCTTGCTCCCATGTGAGTTCTCCATAGGCTGCAGGTGGATACCATGGTCTTACCCTGGGCCTGCAGGGGAATCTCTGCACCTGGAGCACCTTCTCCCTTCCTTCTCTCACCTTGGGCCTGCAGGGCTGTTCCTTTGGTATTTTCTCGCTCCCCTCACACAGTTGATGTGCAGTGTTTGTTCTTCTTCCTTAAATAAGTTACCACAGAGATGCCACCAGCATTGCTGATGGGCTCAGCATTGGGCAGTGGTGTATCTGTTTTGAAGCTTCTGGAGCTCCCTCTCATGGGACATGGGGACAGCTCATGGTGTCATCTCACAGAAGCACCCCTGCAGCCCCCACCCTGCTACCAAAACCTTGCCATGTAAACCCAGTACAGTGAGATTAATCTATAGTGAAAACCGCATTTTCAGTGGGTGATACTCTGTGAGGGGATTCTTAGGTTGTCCTTCTTTGTGGAACCATCTGTATGAGGTTATCTGCGTTTCCCTTAGTCTTTCATTGCTAGAATTCAGAGGGGAAATTATGTTATCTGATACTCTACTGTCAACCTTCTGGCTGCTGGCTCTAGTTACTTTTGAGTACTTTCTAGTAAGGCCCTTTTGCCCATCTGTGATGCTGTGGTAAAGTTCATGAAGCTTTTTGGCTGCAGGCAGGATAACTGTATGCCTGCAGCCTGAAGAGGTCTGTCCTATATCCCATATGTTGTCCTTTCTGTGGGAACGTCCCAAGTCATTCCCTGGGAGCTAAGGAATCGTTTCAGGGTTGTTTTTATATCCTGTTCTTATAAGACAGAGAAAGAGAAGAGGAGATTCTTTGTGAATGGCTATTTCAGGTTGTGGTTGCAGAACAGAGCTGCAGAGTTTGGGGCATAAACCCTGGCATAAGTTGTAACACATCAGTTGTTTACAGTCAGGCTTTGGGAGCTCTTCATTGTGAAGGGAGAGAATTGGACAGTCAGGGCAGTGAGAGGTAGGCGCTGGAAAGCAGAACAGATTTAGCCCTGATGTATCTGTCTGGACATTTTATCTTCTCATGCCCTGGATAACTTTTTTCATGTTCTCCAGAGGAATACTGTGTTGCTTTACTGGGAATTATCCAAGAAAAGCAAAGTAAAAGTGAGTATCCACTTTTCAGCACTTGGTACTGAATAATTACCAAAAAATAAAATTTGCAGGAACTTAAAGCTGACACTATTTCATATTTGGTGGGTTCTGGATAAATACCTTTGTCAGTAGACAAGCCAACAGAAACTTGTTCTAGTTAAGGGGTTTAGTGCGGTGAAGGCTGTCCCCCACTCCAATCCTTTCCTCTTAGCATATTTCATATTTTGCAAATGTGTCTTTCCAGCCAGTGCAGCCTCTAATAATCACTTTGAATTTTAATTTCATATAACATGTTGGCTTTTATTTCTATTCCTGTCTCCTGCATTAGGTGGAGTGGATTTCTCCTTTGTGCCATTGCAATGCTCCTTGTGATATTTCCCATGTTTACCTTTCCGAAAAAGCTCCCTCCTCGACATAAAAAGAAGAAAAAGAAAAAGAAAATGAACTCTGATGATGTTTCAAGTGATGATGATGTGATGAAAGAGAAGACAAATAGCAAAATACAAGCAGACAGTGCAGTTCCTGCCTCTATGGGATTTGGAAAGAATGTTAAAGGTGAAGTTTGTTTTTAATTTTTAAATGCTTTAAATTTTGTGTGCTAGGATTGTATGAGTGTAATTGAAGGCAGACTTTTGACATCCTGTGTTTAATAATATGTTTTGCTATTGTGATTTTATTAAATAGTCATCCTCTAAAATGACAAAATGCAGCAGGAATCAATTTTCTTGAATTTTTGATGTGTTTGTGTGCCTGTAACAAACAGGTAGGCTATTTCCTATGGTTATGGGACCCTATTACCAGATGTATTTGTGCATCTTACAATTTGTAGCTGTCATACTTGCTTTATAAGCTGCCCTTCATAGAATGAAGTGCTCTTCTACAATGTAAGTGAAACAAGTGAAAAAAATTGTGGTATGTGGGTTCAATTGCATTCATGCATTTGGGTAATTTAATTGAGAAAGATTATTTGTTTCATATGCTTTTCCTGTCTGTTTTATATGGTAGGCTATTTATTTTCAGAAGGTTAGGACAAATAAAACCTGTGCTAATTTTGAAACACGAAAAGATCAAAAGATTGACAAGTTATAGAGGTTTTTGTTTTATTCAAAAAATAAATCATTAAAGTAAAATATAGTAAGTAGTAATTAACAGATTTCCAGGGGAAGAAGGGCAGTGTTGCTAAAAATTATTTAATGTGAAGCACATACAATTTAAATTGATTATATAGGCCTAACAGTGTCATAATATTGAATGGTATAGGACAAAAACGAATGACCATTGTGTTGTCAGTGAGTCCTCCTGGGATTCCATGATGCAAATGCTGGTTGTGCCATTTTGTGGTAGCCTGGTGAATGCAATGGGACTGGGAGAAATCATGAAATGTCTTTTGTACCATTACACGTAATTTTAACTCAAAACTTCTAAATGTTTGTTTGTTGATATAGACATTAGTGTTAATTTTTAATTGGATATCAGTCCAGGATATAATAATTGGCAGACTTTTTAATGACACATTTATGATCACTCTTTATGTTGAGTAGACAAAGCTTAGCAAAACCAGCTGGTTTTAGACTAAAACAAGTGTAATTCTAAGTAATGTTTGCACATCTACATACTGGTTTGCTCTACATTGCATTTACACGGGTTCTCTCAGGATACTAAAGGTACTGTTAATTTCAAAGGAAGTAAAGAAAAAAGAAGAGACCAGAAGTTCCTTGGGGTGATTTTATTAGCTGATAAACCAGCATTTTAATCAAGGCAAAAAGCAAGCACAGAGCAAGCATGGTGAACCTCAAATATCAGCTCTTTCAGACCATGCTCTCCCTTTGCTAGCAAAGTAGTTGAAGAAGTGGTGAAGCAAGAAAAGCTTGCTCCTTCTTTATTTGAAGACTCTTTATTCTCTGTATTTGTGAGTCCCCATATATAATATTTTCTCCTTAATCCATAAAACTAGTTCTGGGTTTTGTTTGCCTTCAAACCTACTGTCCTCTGATTAGTGAAACTAGTTTAGCGTTACTCCTGTCAAGATTTTCTCAGTAACTTAGGGAAATGAGAAAGGGGAGTCCAGTCTTTGCTGGACTCCTTCCTGATCATTGCAGGCAATGTCACAGCAGAGGGACTGCTTCACCCTGCTATTGTGCCTGGTAAAGATACATCTGGATGAGTTTGCTGATGCTAGTTCTCTGTTTTGGTACATAATTTCACCTTCTAGGTCATGTCCCTACAGGCAGAGCGGAAAAAACAGAAAAAACAAGTATTTGCTTGGGAGGATGTTTCCTAATGCTTTTTTTTCCAGAAATGAAAACTTCTGTATGTCTCATTTTAGCATGCATTTCTTTGGTACCTGCCTAAATGTGTACCATACCTTCCATAAAATCCTATATTAATTCAGCTTTTGCTATACAAAACTTTTCATTTTCTCTAGAGGAGAAACTTCACCATGTGGAACAGTGAAAAGAAACATGTCAGAATGATACCAAGCGAGTGGAGATAATGCAGAGAAAAGTATTTTGCTATATAAGCTGATAATAGCTTTCCCATTCGGTGTCATTTACCCTAGCAAAGAAGGCCTGCAGCAGGAATGCACTATCATTTAATTATTTTTCAAGTTTTAGTGGGCTTTATGGAATGAGATCATGCCACAAGCTTCTCAGTTGAGGTAATTTTATTTATAATGGGAAGGAAAAAAGGATTGTATGTGTCTAAGTCATTTAGCATTGCTTCTTCTGAGATGCAATGAACATTTTATACTTCCCATTGAATTTCAGAGCTTCATCTTTTTATAGCACGATGGGCAGAAACTCCACTTAGGCAGTAGCTGGGAGACTGATGATTTAGTAGGTCATATCTTCTGTTCTGTACTAATAAATATCAATGATGTCAAAGTCTGCCATGACACAGGTCAGTGACATCAGATCTGTGAAATCCATGCAGCTTTGTTAGGAAAGTAACTGTTTTGTTCTTCCAATATGATGTCATCTTACCTAGAAAGCCTTGCAGAGTGATTCTTGTCTTGTTGTAACTTGTCCTAATTTCCTAGTTAGCTCTCTAGATGAATGAAAAGGTATCAAAAAGGCATAATGAGAGAGAACTAGTCTTTTTTTCTGCAATGGCTGCCAGTATAAGCTGAAGAAATAAACCTAAACTGTCTTCATCTGCAAGTAGCCTCCAACTTCAGTGACCTGATCTTTATTTTGCCCCATGGTAGAGCTGAGATCAGATAAAAATACAGATACACCTTTGCTTTTTCACATGTTTTCAGTTGCAAGGGCTTGGAATCATCTTTCTTTTCTTATTTATGTTTCCACGAGAAAATGCAAGTTGGAGAATGCTTCTGAGTCAGTTATCAAAGGTATTAAATAAAACATTAAGTAGGTCACAGGAGGAAGAAAATTGGATGTAATTTATTGGGTAAGAGAGGCAGTGTAGATAGCATGAGCTAGAGGAGATCTATAATGAAGAAACCACAATTCAATCCCATACATGCAGATATCACATGAATCTGAGCAGACAAAACTACTATTCTCATCTATTACCTCTAAGATTTTGTACCATGGAAATTGTATCTGCAGTCCCTTTCACTTACCACTACAATGAAACTTACTGCAGTTGAATAAAGGAGCAGTGTAAAGAAAGTAAATGTATATATTACCTAAAATATACTCATCTAATCTGAATTAAATAATTAATCTAATTAATTACATGTATTTTGTAGCCTTTAGGGGTTTTTTTTGGTCCATATGTACAGCCCTTTCTTAAATGTAGAATATTCCTATCTGCATTTTCATATCTACCAGCTGTTGTATGCTTTTCCCAGTCAGTCCCTATTAGGGACAGACACAGGATAATAATGACTGCCAGAACATCAGCAAAGATAAAATAAATTCCTGAGGGACTCGTGGCTGCAGGATAAGCCCACTGCAGTGCTTCCCCAAGGATCTGGACTGGGGGTTCTACACTACCTGAAGATTAGTTGTCAGAGATTGGAAGAAGAGGAGGAGACAGTGGTCTGTGTGTTAGGGTTCTTGGTGGGCACTGTAAATGTCAGAGGGTCAGCAGACTGTGGGCTGGAGATCCTGCCATGCCACTGACCTTGAGCAAGTTGCTCCCCTCTCATCCTTTCTTAGGCCATCCTGAAGAGCTCAAAATAGAAAAGGTTGGCTGGCATGGCTCCCTGCAGTGATTAGCAGTGTTAGCTGGAGCCTCAAGGAGCTCTTCTAAATGAAGTTAACAGAAAGAATAATCATATCAAACTGATACTGAATCCCTCTACACTTGATAGGATGTTAGGGGCTGTTCAGCTATCTAGCCACCACTTAGGTGCTTAAGGCACATCCTGAGAGTGGAATGAAGTTGTTTATATGGTGCACGAGTAGGTAATTAAATGAAATACATATAAAATACTATTCTAGAGTTTAATGATTAGCTCCATGCAGGATATATTTGAAGTAGTTGTGTGTGACTTCACTAGTTTCCATTCTGATAAACAAATCGGAAATTCTGTCACAAATCTTTGCACTGCTTTGTACTGCACAAGATGGGGAAGCTGCCCCTGAGACCTCAGTGTGGAGGCAGCGTCCTTCAAAGCTGCAAGCTTGGGTAGTGCTGTCCAGGCTTGGAGCACCAGCAGAAGGGGGGTCCTCTAGCTAATATCTCTCTCACACTTACAAGGGACTTCACTGATGGACTGCAAAAGGACAGTGCTATAGACTGGGATGATTTGTTCCCCTGATTGTAATGATTGCATTGCCTTGGGCTAGGTGCATAGGAACAGGGATAAAAGAAAATACATTAAATGATGAAAAAGGAGGTGAAGTCAGAATTATTGGAGTTTCTATTGAAATTCTGTTTACAGTGCTTTAAAAGTTTTGTTTAGAACAGTATTTATGAATACTTGTATTATTTGCAGATTTTTCTTATGCTTTTCCCTTACCATGAATCAAGCAGTGGTCCAGCACACGAGTGAGAGAAAATGTGTGCTGACTAGAGAAAAAATATTGTCAAAGATCGTGAAAGTATGAAAATTGGCAGTAGACTAACAAACCAGTCCAGCAAGGCAGGTTTCAATTTAGTTTATATACTTATATGTGTCTTAGTTATATATTAAGTTATTGGAAAAAAAAAGATGAGGATGTTTAAGATTTGAGTTACTGCACAGAAGTGTAAGTATGCTTGCGGCCATACTAAAAGATTGTTTTAGTTTTAGGAATGTAATTGATAAAGATTTATTTCTTTAAATGACAGAACGAAGGAACACTGCAAGTTCTCATAGGTTTGTTTCTGATGCACACTTGCAAAAACAGGCAATGTCTTTTGAAGACCTCGTAAAAATCAAACCTGACAGGTTTAATAATGGCCTTGAAATCAAAGCCTAGGCCTGTGGCTAGTCACACAAAAGTAATCTGACACTGAAATGTTTTAAAAGCAAGAGTGATTGTGTAATACAAAGGATCCTTAAAGTTTTTAGCATTCTTGCTTTTTAGTAAAATTAGCGTTGTTGAAGGATATGAGTTATAGTGCCTTTTTATTACAGGTTTTTAAATTCAGAAGTGTAGTATAGATGCTGTCACACAGGATTTGACGGTGATCATAGGAGTAAATCAGGGAAAACTTGACTCTGAATGTGTGTTTTTATTTCCAAGTTTCTTACTATATAGGAACTTTTCCTTGTATGCCAGACAGTTGCTCTTTATAAATCACAAAGAGCTTCAACTCTCAGTTGCTTCAGGTGGTATGTATTAGTGTGATATGAAGAAATAATCTCTTATTTCATGCCAAAATTTACAGTAATCAGCAAAGCTGTTCCTTGAAGAATCCTTCACATGGGTGTAAGAGAACTTGTGCTTATTCCAAGGCACTAAGTTTTATCTGTTTGTCAGTAGAAATCCAATTTCAAAATACTAATTAGTTTTGAAATGAGTAACGACCTTTATCCTGAGTGCTCAGATGAGAAGCAAGTAGGAGTCAACAGAAAGTACAGCTCTACATATGAAAACCAGAGCAAAATGTTCATTAGCTCTGCAGTTCTTTGCCTAATTAATTCTTCAATATCTTTAGATTGAAAATTCTAAACCAGACATTTTCCTATAGCTCAGTTCTATCAAAAAAGGCTAAACTGTACCAGCTATTATGATATTTGGATCAGGCTCTTTAAAATAATGGATTTGGCAAAGATCTTGAGTTCAGCTCTTGGTCAAGGACTTTCTACAAAGAGCACACCTTTCATCATCCTAATAAAATGATATTTCTCTCAGTGATGATACCTTATTATTTTTCTTCCACATTTTCAGCCCAGGTGAGCAGCTGCCACCAAATAACTCAGTTTCCAGGAGGACTGATCCTGGTACTCCCTCTTTCTGCTTCCTGACTCCGTTCTCACAGTAGCATCCGTATGGTCATAACTGCTTGTTCCTATTGCTTCTACTGCAAACAGTGCTACTCTTTAAAAAAAACCACAACAAAAAACCTGTAGGTGGTAAAAACCATTAAGATTCAAATATATGAGTGCTTCTTAATATGATTTATTCATTAGTTATTTCCAACAAATTTTGTCTTTAACATTTAATATGTTTCTTCATCGAGGCAGCAGGAGAGCATTTGGCTACATTAAAATTATAAACCCTGTACTGATAATGAATTCAGTATAAATTTTGACAACTGGCATAAGCTAAGATTGGATGGAGTCAGACAACTTAAGTGCTAATTTGCAACCTGACAAGTTATGACAAGACAAAAGTCTAAGTTCTGTTCACTTTTATACAGATAACCTACTGGAGTGAGTGGAGAAAGTGAGACAGATTTTTGTCTTGACAACTTATAGCATCAATAAAATTCTCACCCAGTTGTTCTTGCTCTACATGTTGTATTTCCAATGGGTGCTCTTTGAATTCAATCGGCTTTGATTCAAGCACCATTCCATTTTTGTACCAAGTGAAAAGCAAATGAAAAGAACCTAAACTATAATAGGCTAGATATAACACTTGAACAGAAAATCTGATCTTGGGAGAAGCCCCAAGTTAAAAAAAAAATGTTTAAAATTATGCCATTAATTTGAAAAAAATTAAGTGCTGAATAGAGTTATCTATCATCTTGTGATGATAATTTGACATCACTACAGGACTGAATTAAAAATATGTGTTTCATTAAATGCAGTGTTGAATTTCACGGGTTTTTGATATTTGATTTGAGAATAATTACAACATCTATGAATACTTTTTCAATTTAAGTTAATGATGTGCTCTCATTTTTAATTGATTGCTTTATCCCTTCTGAGAATATTAAGTTGTATGTAATATATGTTGAGGTTCACTGATATCATTGATGTAATTTTTTCATTATGCTTTGTCTGCATCTTTGTAAATGCTTTTAAATCATGTAGAAAAATATTTAGCTAAAATATTTTGGTTCCTTTTCAAATGAGAGTATTATTACCCCAGGTTTCCGAGCATGGTCCTTGAAGCAGAGAGTTCAGGGGGGAGTATATGATCTGTTTTCCTCCTGTGGAGTGCAAAACACGGTACTGTCAGTTCAGAATAATTCCCAAATCACTACATTTTATTGCTGTTTTTCTTTCCATTATAGTGTTACTATGTAAGCCTTGTTTCTTGAGATGGTTTTGATAAAACAGACCTCAGTTGTGTTTGTGCAAAGTGGGACTGCAGCCCTGGGGCAGTGCAGTGAGATAGGGTAAGAGCAGACAGTAAGGGCTGCCCTCCCAAGTATGTACTCTCCCCCTCTGCTTAGCAAATGTAGCCAGATGCTAGCAAGCCATTATTGCCAGTCTGTCTCAAGGAAAATCAATTGGTCTTGTTTCAGTTTGCTTTTGTTTCTCACTCATTGTTTATAACATTCGTTTGTCATTTTTGTCATTTTATAGAGCTTCCAAGAGCAGCTGTCAGGATCTTAAGCAACATGACATTCCTTTTTGTGAGTTTGTCATACACAGCTGAGAGTGCCATTGTCACAGCTTTTATTACCTTCATTCCCAAGTTCATCGAGTCACAGTTTGGCATCCCAGCTTCCAATGCCAGCATCTACACTGGTAAGGCTTTGCCACATAGTGTAATCTTGCAAGGGTTAGCTTTGGCTAATGGAATGAATCAATGTAGGAATGAACCAAAAATGTGTTTGTTAGAAGAAGTAATTGGATCCAGCCTTCTGCATTTGGTTAGATATTCAGGCCATTTTTTGATGCTTGCTATGTGTGTTTATTAAAAAGTGAACCCATTTATATTGTTACAGGGCTGATGTTTTTTGCATAAGCCCAGACAGACATTTTCTCATCTATTAATGATCTCCAAGGGGAAAAAACTCAACAAAAACAAGCTAGAAAACCCATAGACATTGCTGCAATTTGTGTGCCTTAAAAGATCTCTTAAAGCTGTTCTTATTTTCTGTGAATTTTACTTCCTCTTTGATCTTTAAAATATCCTTATCTTTTTTTATTCCCCCCAGTGACAAGTTGTTTATCTGTCCTATCCTTCAGTTATCTCTCCCCTCCAGGCTGTTGGTTTTCTCCTTATTTACTTATTGACACTGCGTGCACAACAATCTGGTCTAGTTAGGAGAGCTCCCCAAATCCTCTCACACCTGTCGTTTCAGGAGACCCCTATTTTGCAGGTGTGGCGCTTCCCCTGCTGCCACAGGAACGTACAGCCACGTCCAACTTTTAACAGAGCTACAAACCACAAATTTTTAAGCTTTGTACTGCTCTGTGAGTGGATGAGATTGCCACTTTCCTAGGAAAAGAGGCCAAAATGTGCAGAATCAGGGCCTGTGTCATGCAGATGAGGTTCCTCCTCTTCTAGCTGCATCAAAGACATTTGTCTTTATAAACATGTTTTTAACTTCTCCATAGTATAGAATAACTGTTAATTGGTAGGCTGGGTAGTTCTTTGTTTCCCCATACTTTCAGAGACTATGCATGAGAAGAAGTAATGGAGTGGAGTGAGTTGTGGGGACAGGGGTGAAGCTGCCCAGGGGCATCAGTCAAGAAAAAGATAAAAAGTAGCAGAAGAAAGAGGGAAGACACAGAGACTTCAAGTGGGAATCCCTTGTTACCTGCAGTGGCTGGAAGAAATGCAAGGAATCTTTCTGGAGTGTGGAGGGGAAAAGTCAGAGAAGCACCATGTAGTGCTTTCTATTTGAGAGCTTTCTGGGATGAAATTTTCTTCAGGGCATGAAATCCTTTTGTTATGTGTATAAGGAGGAAACATTGATTGATGGGATGGTGATGCTCTCTGAAGCTTTGAGTAGCTACACACTCACGGGAGTTTTACTGTAATGAGTCTTGATAGGATTGCTACTCCACATCTTGCTTCATTCTCAGGATAAACTGGAAACATTCTTGCCAGAAAAGGCCAGTACATTAAAAGAGGTAAAACTGGTGTCACCCTATCCAGGGTGTGAAGTTATTAACAGCTGTCGTTTTCCCTGTTATAAATCACTTGATAAAGAGTATTATAATGAACGAGAAGAAGATGATGAAATATCTTAGGCTGGATGTGCAACATGAACAAGTGAGCACTGCTTACACAATCCCAACTCCTAAATGTAGTATTAAAATCAACAGTTGTTAATTTTATAAATATTTTTTGTAGGAAAGAAGGGAAAGGGATACTTAGAGATTTTGTATTAGATTGCTACTGGCTAATACAGTAAAAGGCATGTCAAGTTTAAAAATTTTCTGATTGGCAAAAGGAGAATTTACATGTTATTTACATTATACGTCTATGCTTAATACATTCATTGCTGGCTGAGCACATGTGCTTCCTGAATCTCTTCATCTAAAGGTTTTATTGGTAATTTTTTGTCTCTTAAGCAGCAATTCTTTATTTAAGTCTCAATTTCTTTCTGTTTTTAAACAAACCTGACATTAATCATCATCAAAAATGCCATGTGCCAGACTTCATGTCTTGAACTTGTGCAGCTTATACATTTAGTTTCTGCTCTTATGAGAAAGACTATTTTTGATTCTGTGAAGGGTTATTGTTTAGAATCTTCCTCATGAAACGATATTTTATTCAATAATGCCATTGGTGGTGGCAGTATAAATAAGGTGCCAGCTATTTTTACCTCTTATTCTTACTTTCACAATCTCAATATTTTTATAAATGTAATGTCCCATTCACCTTTAGATGAATTAACAGAGAATGAGTATGCTTTGCAATAATATTAAAGGTATTTGTAAGTGATAGTCTTACTGAGTTCTTGAAAAAGACCAACATTTCTAAGAATTTGGATTATAAAGTTTAGCTTCTCTGTAGATGCAGCTGCCAAAAGTAGTTCAAATTCCATGTTTATGTGGAATGCATCTTTATTAGCAAAGCCTTAATTTAAAGACCTTCTCAAATGTCAGTGAGAAGCAAAAGCTAAGGGAAGAAAAGTGCAAGACATTTGCTGACTTAACACGACGTCAGGACCTGATAAGTGAGGACAATCCAGGGATGTGTTGCTGAACTGCCACCTTATAACTGCAGCAGTAGAGCAGCAGAAATTTCATAGGCACGTCTTTCGTGTCTTGAACTTACCCTAATTCTAGTATCTTAATTTCTTTAATTGCATTTGATCAGTTTACACTCCGCATGTCTGTGCTGAGATAATTGGAGTGCTGATGTAGGAACATAGAATCATAGAATCATTAAGGTTGGAAAAGACCTCCAAGATCATCAAGTCCAACTGTTGGCTGAACACCACCATGTCAATAAACCAGAGCACTAAGTGCCACATCTGGTCATGTCTTGAACCAGGGATTGAGACTCCACCACCCCCCTGGGCAGCCTGATCCAATACTTAACCCCCTTTTCAGTGAAGAAATTCTTCCTGATGTCCAAGCTGAACTTCGTGGTGCAGCTTGAGGCCGTTTCCTCTTGTGCTGTTGCTAGTTGGCTGGGAAGGTGCTGCTCAAAGTATCCAGAAGGCAGAATTTGCAGCCAGGCTCACATGTGCACTCCAGGGTGGGCAGGCTTCTGGGGTCCTGCCTGAGGTTAGCACTTGTGCTTTGCTGGAATTAATCATGAGAGTAGGAGAAGGAAGATTCATGTCTAAGTTCGGATTTCTTCAAATTTTCAGGAGTTAAACTGGACCAATATGTAGTCCTTCTCCCCATTCTAAAATAAATACAAAGCAATGTTTCTGCTTGGAAGTACAATAGTTCTCTTATAGTGCTTTGGCTGCTGCTAATATCATAAGGAGGCTTTTATAGATTCTTTGACAACACTCCAAAGGTTTGAAAAGTCTGACTCAGTTTGCTAGCAGAGAATCAGACAATGGAGCAGTCATCTAATTAGGGCATGAAACCAATATTTATGTTTTATACCATTTCTGTAGGTCCTGTTTTAATGTTGTTTGAATTTTTTCCCGGCAGGTGTGATTATTGTCCCAAGTGCTGGTGTTGGTATTGTCCTAGGTGGCTACATTATAAAAAAACTTAAACTTGGTGCAAGAGAGTCTGCAAAGTTGGCTATGATCTGCAGTGGTGTATCTCTGCTGTGCTTTTCGACACTCTTCATTGTTGGATGTGAAAGCATTAATTTAGGGGGAATAAATATACCTTACACAACCGGGTAAGTATCTGTGGCAAACCCAGCTTTTTCTAATAAACCAGATCTAGAAATGTAAAAAATGCTGATAGCTGATGTACTGAAGAAGCCACATGTTCAAATGAGAATTCAGTAAGTATTGTGATATAAACACATGCTGTTACTGTGTGGCACTTCTTTTTTACATCTGCTTTATAATGAAGGTTACATAGTAACGCACCCTTTTGAGGAGTGGGGAAATGCATTAGAATGAACTTCAGTAATTGTTGCAGAAAAATAAGAATAGAGTCCTCTCTAGATTGCTTAGAATTTAGTTGGTGTTTCAAAATATTTTCTTCTCATGAAAATTGTGAGAATACTACAGGGATTATAAGAATTATTTCTGAATGGGTTTATTTATTATCACCATAATGGTGTCTTAGGTCTACAGTCCCTGTTTGAGAGGATGAACCTCAGCGGATGTGCTATCAACATTATTGGTGCACTTACTAGTTGTAGGAATGCCCTCCAGTTCTTGCTGGGTCATCATCAGGACAGTGACCAAATCATGTCTCCTAAAGTTACATTGAAAGTGAAGAAGGCTGTAATGAGAAAAAAGATGTGGATGTAGGAAAGACTTGGGAATGAGGAATTTAGGCTGTGACATTAGGAAATGCATGGAAGGGCATTTTAAAAAAAATAAGGGGTATTTGGAGGGAAGACAGTGTGTTAAAAGTTCTGAGAGTTTCACTCAGAGGTGATTCCTTGGAAGCCCTATAATGAGCTTTTATTTTTTCTTATTTTGTACATTAAATTTTCCCTCAAATTGCCTTCCTCATATAGGTTAAAACCAAGAACAGAGTAAGTGTTTGAGGAGTGTGAACCTATCTGAAGCAATGTTTCCCTTTGCTTTTACATCTGAGATGCATCTGCCTTTATTTGTGACCAGGTACTGGGTATCAGATCCATTTGTGTACCTTCTTTTTAAGGCTCAGCTCTGCACTCTTAACATTTTGAAGAGACTGTAGAAGTATGGAGCAGGAAAAGAGATGATCAAATGGGAAAAAAATACAGTGTTGCCGTGATCTAGGAAGTGAAAAACAAAGAGTCGGAATGGGAATCAAGGGAGGAAGAAAATAGACACTGTTTACATCGAGAATGTTTTGCATGGATTGTTTCTGGGTGTTACTACATTGCTGTCAAACCTTAATCTTACGGCAAAGAAAACCAGGAACTGAAAATCATGAGGTCATAGAAAGCTGGTTTACTCCTTGATATTCTTAGTATCTAAAGATGGGTGGTGAGGGGCTGTCTGTAGAAGGGAGTAGCAAGGTGATATATCCTCATCTGCATAGTGGGCTGAAGAAGGAGAGAATAGGGATGGGAAGGAAGCAGGTGGAATGCTTTGAGTGTCCACCTGCTGTTAATGTTTGTGACAGCCTGTGGGTGTAGATGAAAACCTGAAAATTATTAGGAATGAAAATATAAATTCCAGATAACAATTAGTTGATCTGTGTGGCAAGTCAGAATGTCCCTGCCTGGCTAATGAGAAAACTATATCTTTCTGTTTGGGGAAAAAGTCCTATTTGATTCAAATCTATTTGTAAACTGAAGACATAGCATACTATTGCTATGTAACGCATAGCTGTCATGCTGGAACTGTAAGAGTGTCTAATTTTTTTTGTTATTTGTAATAACATTTGAAATAAATGCATAACATGAATTGAAATAGGCATCTATTCACAGGTAGTGTGAAAATCTGCAGTAGCATTACTTCTTTACCTTCATCTAATTGTTCTTATTGAGAAAAGAGGTGAGAAATGGTAATGGCAAAATTCTCACAAGTGTTGATGTACATAGTCTCTTTGAAATGAGTATAAAAATTAATATAATTAGACTGTAATGTCATCAGAAATTGAGAATTACCAGCATGTTATAAAGCATAGTTCAGGAGTTTCAGCCAGATTTTTTTTAACATGGAGGTCAAATCCAGATTTATTATCAAAATGATAGTAAAAAGGCAGCACTATACATAAATTGATGTTGAATATCTGACATGATAAACATTCTCTTAATCCTCATGGTCAATAATTTGATAGCTTCAAATCATTTACTTAGTAGGCAACTTAACTCAAACATCAAAGAATGTTACTGTTCATGTAATAAAAAAGCATGCTTTCATTGTGGGGTTTAATAAAACACATACTTCATTCTCTGGTTCCAATGTAGTGCAGTATATGGACATCAAAGCCAGTTCAACAGGCTAGATCAGATAGAAAAAGCAGTACAGCTACTTGGTTTGGAATAAATGTACTGCATGATGCTCTACCTTAACATGGCAATGCCGGGTCTGATGTGTGAACTACCTGCACTGGCAGCAACCCAGAGAGCTCAGCTGCATTTGGCAGTGTAGACATACCCTGCAGGATAATCTCTGGACAAATGCGTTTCTTTCTATTGTTGATTTCTTATACATTTAAAAAGGGGTTTTAATCTGATGAACTGAGAAGGATAAGCTGGGTTTCAGTTAACATAGAAGTATGTGCATACCAGTACTCAGTAAAGTAGGCAATGACATTTCATAATTCAGTACGTTTCATAACTCAGTATTTTTCCAACTGTACCAGCTGTGAGGAAGTGGATGGGACCTGGAGGCATGCACAGATTAGAATACATTAGAAAGGATTTTCTGCTGTTTTATGTTGGGCACAAGCAGTTTTGCTTTTGTTGGTGTGTCATCAGCATTTCTGTTATCAGGAAGATCAAGGGCACCTCTGTATTATACATCTCAGCATTTTAGAACCTGGTGTTCCATACCCCAGCCTTGTCTCTGAGGGCATGTTTGATATTTGAACACAGTATAAGGAGCCTTATGTCAAACCATAATATGGCATCCCTTCTCTTGCACCGTAACCAGTATCCAGATGGGAAGTCCTGAGTCAGTGAATTGCCTCCTTGTCCAGGTGGCTTTTGAATAGCTCCAAGGAGGGAAGCTCCACAGCCTGCCTGGTCAGCACTGTCACTTTGACAGTGAAAAAGTGTTTCCTGGTGTTCATAGGGAACCTTCTGTATTTCAGTTTGTGACCATTACCTCTGGTCCTGGTACTGGGCACCACTGAAAAGAGCCTGGCTCTGTCCTCTTTGTACCCTTCCTTCAAGTATTTATGGGCATTGATGAAATCCCCCTGAGCCTTCTCTAGGTTGCACAGTCTCAGCTTTTCCTCAGAAGAGATGCTTCAGTTCTTTCATCATCTTAGTGGATATTCACTGGTCTCTCTCCAGTATATCCATATCTCTCTTTTACTGGGGAGCCAGAACTGGACTCAGCACTGCAGGTGTGGCCTCATCAGAGCTGAATAAAGGGGAAATAGCAGAGATCAGCTACTTTGGTTGTCTTCAGACCTGTCTCTTCCATCTTTTATGGTATAAGGCAGCTAAAACAAGCTGTGTGGGGAGCTTACTCATAGTGACAGATTCCTGGATTAGTTCAGTTCCATCTCTCACATTTCTCATATGTAATGAATCATAACAGACCATTTTTGATTGCTTTCTGTTGTTTTGGTGCAATTAAGCTGTAGTTACAGCATGTGATTGACTTACTGAGGCATTTCCTACAAAAAAAATTGTATTCTTCTTCTAGTACTACCAGTTTGAGTTTTTGTATCTATTTCAGTCCAATCAGCCAGTGGGTTCCCTTAACTTGAAAGCAGTGACTAATTGGATCAGAACAATAACACAAAGAAAGATTCCAGCTAACATAGTCAGAGGGTCCCTTGTTTTACAGCTACACAAAAATTGCATCATTGCTTCAATTCCAGCTGCTTGCCAACAAGGAGACTGCAGATCTCTGCCATCCAGAATGTCCTTCAATACCAAACTAAAAGTATTGCTATCAAATTAACATAATCCTTTTTATCATATAGCCCAATGTTAATATTATAGAAATTATGTGGTGATCTCCTTTCCTTTGTATTTTCTTGGTCCTGTAGGTTGCTACAGTGATCTAAATAAACATGAATAAAACCGTGTGCAAGCCAATTATTTGTTTAGATGTTACCAAAATATAGTCAGACGTGCTTGATTTGCTTTTTTTTTTAACTGCTTTTCATTTAGATTGTAGCCTCATGGGAAGAGGGTCCACCTTTTTTTTGCCCTGATATATGTGCATTAACTGCCAGCACAATGAGGTTTCAGTCCAAGTCTGAGTATGTGAAATAACAGATCACAGCTCTAAAAACACCAGGCAATAAATCTCACCTTATATTTTCGCTTTTCTTACTTCACTCCTATACCACAAACCTTCAACAGTGTAATAGTTGGAGAGAAGACTAGGATTTAGAAAAAAATGTTAGAAACTAGAATCCCTTTCATTGTTAGTCATGTCTAATAAAGGTCTTCTCTTTATTAGCTTTACTAGCACTGTGTCATGGAGACACAGAACAGTCTCCTTGAGAAGTGAATAAGTGCAATTTGTCAGATGGGATTCTGGGTTTTGTCCCAGCACACATTTAGCAAACTTGCAGTTCGATCTTATTAATTAAAGGAGTGGCATCATTGTTTGTATTTGAATGAGTAGTTCAGGAAATGCTTCTGTTTGGGACTGGTTTCTGTCAGTGTGCTCGTGCATGATGGCTGTCCTTGGCAGCTCAGGTGCAGCAGTGTTGCAAGTTGTCAGCATCTGTTAGCACCCACTGAAACAAGCAAAGTGGCTGTTTCTCAGACATGCTGTGTGTCTACAGCATTTGGTGCATTGAAACTAGGATGCTTTTCCCACAGATCAGCTCATGAGCAGGACTTAGTAGCTTTGGTGCTATTTCCATAAGAACCTGATCTTTATGACTGATGCAGGTAAATCTGTGATGTGCTGTGCAGTAATTCAGGGATCAATGCTCTGTTTTCCTTTGTGGAGAGTAGGCAGCCTCCCAGTGTCAGAAGGCAGGATTAGTAGAGTGCTTTGGTTCAGCTAACTTCTGGAAAAATACATACCTTCAAGAAAAAACTGATCCCTTCCTGAAAGAAGTGTTCAAGAAATCTGTTATAATATGTCCTATATGGTAGATCCTATATGATGAAAATGGAGTTACGTAGATATGTGTTAGTAGAGAGTTTTCCATCATTGAAAGAGGAGTGAACAGTGAGTGAATAGAAAAGTTAAAAAGATGAAATCATGAACCTCTTACAACTGATAATGAACTTTTGGAAATGCAGTTAATATATGATTTTGTGTATTACATGTTCTTGAAAGCATGCAAAAAAAAAGCCTCTTTGTGTTAAAGACATTTGCTCTAAACAACAAAAAGAAATCCCCTACATAAACCTTACAGTGATATGCTGAAGTATAGTGGTGAAAGGTGGTGAAAGCTGGAGAGACACAGCATGTAGTAGCTTGTGATTAATTTGAGCATATTTGCTTTGCATATCTGTAAACTTAAGTCTTCTTCTAGGCCAAACAAAAAAATGCCCCTGAGATTAAATTATCACGGTGGTCTCACTTCAGTTCCCGGTTTCATGCTTCTCATTTCTTGCATGCCTGATTTCATTCATCTCTTTTTTTTAAAGCTGATTTCCTAAACTCTGTGTCATATTAATTCTCAGCAATGCAGCTGAATCGAGTTAGCTACATAAGCAGACCAAGACAGGGAATGGGCTCTCCTGACTGTGGAACAACCCAACTCATCTGCTGCTGGAAGGGTTTTAGGTGATGGAGGGATAAGAGGTCAGAATAATGTGCCCCACAGGTTGGGATAGGTTGGAGAGCGAAATCCGAGCTGTGCCTTTCCTGGCAGTCTGGCCTGTCCCTGGACCTGTCCCTGTGCAGTGTGGTAAAGCCCTGTTGTCAGCAGGGATGTGGGCGCAAGGGTCTCCCAGGCAGGTCGTGGAGTCCCTTCTTACCTCAAATATTCAGGCATGCGGGACATCCAGCTCAGAAGGCAGACTAGGACTCCAAAACTCCAAAAATGCTGCCTCTCCTGTTGGTGTGAAAAACTTTTGTCACTGTGCTGCTGAAATCCATATCTTCCTGAGGAATGTTTTGATGATTTGGTGTTTTCCATCGGAGAAAAATTTCTATTGAGAGATTATTGGAAAAATCTGTCGCTGCATATTGCTTACTGAAATCCAGTGTGATATAATAAGACAAGTTTCAACTCATAGCTGAGAAGGCAACATAACCAATATTAGTCTCGGATATTTAATTTCCTGCTCAAGCTGAAATTCGTTGCTAAAAGTGTGCCTTGTTTGTTTGTGGCACAAGAAAGAAAACACTCAAAGTCTTTGGTTAACATCCAACTAGACCATAAAGTGTAAAGTAGCTCCGGGAGCTAAATTTGCGAACCTGGTTTGTGTGCTCAGTAGACAATCAATAAATATTTAAAAGCTACATAGTAATATTTAATTGACTGCAAAAGTGCACAGCTGGGAAGACAAGCATATTCAGCAAAAGAAAATAGTGGTATATAAAGACAAGAAAATCAGTCAAGTGGAATGCTCGAAGCAGCGGTTGTACTACTTAGTGTCACTGCTGACAGGTGGTGAGATGACAGACAACATGATGACAATTGCTGTGCGAAGAGTGGCTCCCGAGCTGAGCCTGGTCTAGTCAGGTGTAGAAGATGGGAGCAGGAGAACATCCCCTGTGGTCCATGGGGTAGCTGGAATGCAGTAAGTCTGATGTTAGCTGTTTATCTTCACAGTGGTCTTGCTCGTGCATCACAGATGTGAAAACAAGATAACAGCAGCCCTTGTGAGGCTCTGCAGCCATGACAAGCTGTGAGCATGTGTACAGGATCTTGAGGATCCAGATTCCTGTTCAGTTCCTGCCTGGGTGAGGAGGTGCTGAAATTCCCTTGATATCTACTGATCTGCTTAGAGTAGAGGTACTTGAGGTAGTTTTAAACAGCAATGGCCATTGAGCAGTACTGAGAGCAGTTAATTCAATATTACACTGTGGTGCCTGGTGTTGAGTGGTTGTGCATACCAGTGTAATTTCCTAAGGCAAGATTTTAGCTTATGGTGCATGTGCAAATACTCATGCCCCAACAGAACTCAGTACTTAGCTCTATCTGGTTTTGCAGATTCTGCAGGGATCATACTGGCATTTATTCTCAGAAACTCAGGTCTTCTGGACCGGACTTCACATGCACTGCAGGCAGAAATACAATGGAGCCTGCAGCTCTGCTTACCACTCAAGGTGTGAGAAGGCAAAGGGCACAGTCTTCTTCTGGAGTTGGGAATTTTCATACATATATTCTAATTTCTGGAAAAGACCTTTAAATTTCACTCCTGCAACCTCTCCTCTTTATCACATTCAGTCTTGCATGGATTGCTTCAGTATTCTTTAGAACTGGGGTTTTATATCTAAGCAGTGAACTGCTGGATAAATGATGCAGTGGACACTTCATTTGTGAAAAGACTATCAACTAGTTTAAAAGTATTGGGCAGGAAGATGAAGGAGGGGCAGCCTTGTGACACAGAGCTGGGCAAATCCAGCCTTGTGGGAGTGGATCCAGAAGCTGTACACCTCTGTGGATTGAGACCAGGGATTGTAGCCATGAACTGCAGCATCCTGCAGTCTCTGAAACACTGGTGAAAGGTAACACATGAAGTATTTAATCTTTCAAACTAACCTAATGACACACTGAAGGGTTCTGATACCACTGTAATAAAACCCACAAGATAAAAAATTATCTGAAACTGCCTTCTCAAAGCACCACCTTTCTTCCCTGTTCAACTACTATGCACTTTAGCTATGGAAAGTCACGAATCCATGCGGATGACAGACTGCATGGCCCTGTCTTCTGAGCTAAACTAAGTCTCTGCCATTATGACTACTGTGGAGAACATAGAGGAGTGCATTGACTGAAGAAAGCTTTGGGACATGTTTGAAATAATGTGAATTCTTTCCAAAACCCAGATTAAGCATATTTTTAACTCTTGAATCTCAGACGTGAGTATCTTGCCTATTCTCAAGGACTACTGAAGTGAAGTAAGCTACTGTTTTTATTTTGGCCAGAGCTCTCTGAGACTAAGCACAGACTCTTGTGAAGTTTTAGGGAGCCATGTTGGTGCAGGTATTTAAACTGCTGTGACTCAAAGATGGGAAGGAAACATTTGAAATATGTCTGAATCCATAAAGCATGTATGTGTGTTTCCCACTGACACCTGCTTTATTAGCATTGGCCACTGTGTTTAACAGTTATTGTGGAGGAGATAGGAACTGCCTGACAGTGTGTTTTTGCTAGGAAGTCAGGAAATTGGTTGCTAAAAAAATTGCTCACCTTCTGTGTGGTGCCCTCTCTCCAGCTGTTTAGCACTTAAAATCCTGGAGTGCAGCTATGACAGAAAGTAATCAAATAAAATGGAGTGGGTCCTAAATAACAGGAGAAGCTTCACCTGAAAATGCTGATATAAGCTGCTTTTCAGTTTTCAGTGGCTTGGAATCACTTTGTGCAGTGAAGAGCGAGTGTGGGTGCCAAATTCAGGAGCCATGATTTCTTTACACAGAAAGGGATTTAGGAAATAAGAGCTATGGCCCTTAGCTTCAGCCAACCCCATCACCTGGCAATAGATTGGTATGAATAAGATAATTCAGGTAACTTTTCCATTGCCTTAATGCATTCATGTTACTGACAGCATTTTAAACCAAGGTGAAATTACAAATGAGATGCAGAAAATGGAACCAGCAATAAACCACACTGCAGAGTCTTGCTTTTCCACTTATTAAAATTAAGGTAGCAACCTGAAACAAGTCAGAGAATGTGAAAAGTGTAGTAAAAATAGATTAAAATATAATATGGGCCATTTAAAAAATCTCGCTTGTAATTTGGCTGCATAATGACAGCAGCAAATAACTTAGGTTTCAGGGTGTGTCTGTATGTATATTGAAGTGGAACAGTTATTTTCTTTTTGGTACCTGAACTAGCATGTTCAGAAATAGCAGGGATAAAAGATAGTACTTTATTCCTATACCTTCAGGTACCTTCTGGCACAATGCCTTCAGGTAATACTAGATGTGAATATATTAATTAGTATTAAATGTGGCTTATTGAATTGCAACTACAGTATTTCACTAGAGCAGTAATAGTGAAGAACCTGCTCTTTGGTGTGTAATCTCCTTCAGCTTTGAAATTCCTTTTAGTTCCTTCATTCTATATCACCAAACCCTTCAGGGGAGCACCTAGAAAGTTGAGCCAGATTTTGGGGCATGGTCTAGGGCAAATGGAGCATTGGTTCTTTTACAGACATTTAGTAAAAGCAGAACAGTCTCCCGGATCTTGAGAGCTTCATGTAGATTTCACATGTACATATGAATAATATAAGCAATAAGTTTTCTGAACAGTTGTTGGTACGTGGGAAGAGATGCCTGTTAGGTCACATTAGTTCACAGAATACTTACATCTTGTCACTGAGCCTTTCACTAGTAATCAACAGCTTAGGATAGGCATATAAAATAGTGGTGTCTTAACTCTTCAAGGAAAAAAAAACAGGGGAAAAATACAGCTATTACCTAGGCAAATATGATACAAATTTGAAACTTTATTATTATATTTTTCATTGTGTTTTTAGTTGATGGCAGGAATGACTTTGGTATTCCTCTATATTGTTTAAGTCGTGTACATAACCTAGAGTTTAACTAATGCAGTTTTTCTCTGATAATCAACTCTAAGTTCCAGAGTTAATGAGTAGGATGTTTACTCCCTCTGTACAGGAGGATATGGATGTCTGTGCTTGCTCTACTAGCATGTTCCTTTTCTTTTCTTCAGTCCCACTCTTGCCATGGCCCACAGGAATCTGACTGGAAGCTGTAATGTTAACTGCGGATGTAAGATTCATGAGTACGAGCCTGTCTGTGGATCAGATGGAATAACCTATTTTAATCCTTGTCTAGCTGGCTGCATCAGTGGTGGAAACCACAGCACAGGGGTAAGTGCTTCACACCCGCGAGTAACCCCATGGGACTGGTGCAGATCAAAGACTGCTCAGTTTCTGGCTCAAGCGTCTCTCCTCTAAGCTTCAGATACATCGCTCTACAGCTGACTTGTCCATCTCTGTGTCTTTCCATGTTCTGAAAGGCTGGTAATGCTACTATTGCATGGTCCCACCCCTCTTCCATTCAGTTATGTACAAATTTGAGGCACAAGTTCATTTGTACCAAGTGAACCCTCCAACTGAGAGAGTGCCATGGGGTGGAGAGAGCTGGTGTTTCCAGTACAGACCCCAAAATCCCTGATGGCAGTGGCCTGCATTTCTGCTGTTCCTGCAGGGCTTTCTGCTAATGTGGGTGGCCATGTCATACTGTCTTTCTTCAAGCTCAGTGTTACCTTTTAGAGCAGTTTGGGGATTTTTTTTGACTCCCTCTCTGAATTGAAAGAAGAACTTAACTCTTCAGGTTGTTGGAAGTGTTTTAAACTTCTATTTAAATTTAGTTAGGGCCTGTTAAATGTCATTGGTGTTTGTGTCAGCCTCATCATTTTGCACAAGCAGCTCTTGAACCTGCACCTATGTATTGATAGGTCTGTTGTTTGTCCAGCTAGGTGAAGACTGCCTGTGTATTCTGCTCTTGTAAAGCAGTTTGACCATTCCCATGGCCTTTTTCTAAACCTCATCCAGGCTAAGTGAAGGGATTGTCATAAAACTCAAAAACCCAGAACTTAAAAGATGTTAATAATCCTTTTTCTTTGTTTGAAACACATTTTCTGTTACAGCCCAGTATTTCAATTATGCTGGACTGGAGAAGGACATCCTGGTGGTAAAATCAAGCCATGAAAATTTGGCATTTTCGAGGACTGGGCACAGGAAAACAGTTGAAAAGTAGAATCTGACTTAAATATCAACAGAGCATTATGGTCATGCTAGTTTCATGAAAAAAAAGGAACTCTTAAATTCTTCTGTTTCAGAACTGTCCTTTAAAAAAGGATAATTAAGAAAGACAAGAAGTAATGTAAACATTGATTTTCTCAGGGCTTGATTGTGCTTTCCAGAAAGCTTACTTTAAAAAGTATGAGTCTCCTGATTTGCAGTCCTGAGCCAGCCTGTGAAGCAGGAGGACGTTAGGTCCACCTCTGAGCTTTGTCAGGTCTGAAAAAGCAGGTTCGTGTATAGATGTCACTGAGAACAGATTAGTTTCCTTTAAAGTTTTTTTTCTTTTTAGATTATCTTGCTGGTTTTTAGTAGAAAATTGCTTTGGCCCAATATGCAAAAGCCTGTGATGTGAGCCTGTGGTTAACTTTCAGTGTCTGTATAAACCTAATTTGTGCTTTTCCTGGATTAAGATATAGGTTTGATCTTTGCTGCATTTCACTTGATATCAAACTGGCACCAAGTAATTTAGTAGGGAAATACTTTAGGAGTATGTGCTCTTCAGTACAGATTTTGAAACATACTATCTCCTCCTATGATTTAAGAAAAGATGCTTCATGGCCTGAAGTTTTAACTCAGTAGCTAATGGTGAATTCTTCATGTTCTGGATGATGAACATGAACAGTAACCAGAAGTGCCATTTGTAGATGCACTGAGTGCCTAAATTTGTATTTGAGGGCATGAAAATTTACATTTAGGATATATTTAGTTGTATTTAATGGAAAACATTCTGAAAAAAAGGATTCCAGTTGTCTCAAATTAGTCACCCACGTTTGTGAAACTTTTGATCTGCTTCAGTTACTTTGCTACAAAATAGAGATAACAACATCAATACCTCATCTCATAACTGTTTTGAAGATAAATGATACTTTCTGAAAAAGCTAAGCTATAATAGCAAGTGAGATAGAAAAATCCATGTGAAATATGAGTTATTCTGTCTTTGTAGTGGAATTTGTTTAGTGTGAGGAAAAAAATACTTGGGAGTCACATTTTGAAAATGGGAGGTAAAATCCTGGATAAATAGATATATTATTAAGCTGTTCAGCTAAATCCCATGGGAAGAAATGTGAGGCTATATCATAGCATGGATGCATACAAATGTATACACTAAGATTGACAAACAACTGTGATTTCAATATGTCCTGATATCCAAGTGCTTAAATTTGCAAACTTAAGAGGGTTTTGTAGCTTCTGTGCATGTGTGGTCCACTATTTGATGAATGCAAAAATTGACACAAAAAGCTCCTTCCTGTAACATCTTATAGGTTCTGACCTATTTCTTCTCTAGCACTGGAATATTCTGATCTGCTGCACGCCTCTTTGCATTAGATTAGCTGAAAACAGAAGTAGAATAAATGTGAAAGAAGGCTATTTCTGATCTAGCTCTTCCTCACCTTGATCAAATCACAGTCCCCTTTGCCTGTGAAATGCTACTTCTTTATTCAGTCTCTTAATTTAATTATCTTTGTCCATTTAGGAATCCATCATATCCTTCAGTCTCACTGTTTGAGTCTCTTCCTTCCCCTTATTCTGTGTCCAAATCCACACCTACATCCAGATGGAAGGTCCTGGACTTCAAGCATGAAGTGCAGCTTGTTGCTCTTTGGCCAGATCTGGGTAGCCTTCCATTAATATGGCAGAAGATACTGCCTGAATATGAAAGTCAGCAGCCTGCCAAATTTCGGAATACGGCATTGTCAGTGCTGCCTAAAGAATGTTTCCTCACAGTTTTTGTAGTACAGCAGAAACAATATTTTTCTCTAGCCTCCCTGTCAGAAGTGATTAAATTGTCTTGGCAGAATTTTCCAAAAATATTTCAGATTTTTTTTTAAAACTCAGACTAAATAAAGCAATGGAAAGCAATCTCATCATGGAGAGTCCCGATCAGCTTTAAAATTAGTTGGAGGGATAACTTCGTTTGTGCTTGGTGTAATGGTGCTCAAGGCAGAAGATTGAGAAATACTACGGGACTGTCATACCATGTCTCTGTGCAATGTCTTTCTTACGTGGGTTTTTCATATGAAAATGTTCTTTTCTGCCCTCCCTAGGTAAGAAATTACACAGAATGTGCCTGTGTCCAGAGTCGCCAGGTGATCACTCCACCAACAGTGGGCCAGCGCAGTCAGCTCCGGCTGGTGATTGTCAAAACCTACCTGAATGAGAATGGCTATGCTGTTTCTGGGAAATGTGATCGAACCTGCAACACGCTTATCCCGTTCCTGATATTTCTCTTCATTGTCACTCTCATAACAGCATGTGCCCAGCCATCAGCAATTATAGTGACACTCAGGTGAGAACTCAGTGATGGTTTTGAAGTATTTTTGCTGTGCCTGCTGTCACCAGTGCCTTTCAAGCTTGTGTATCCTTAAAAAGTAGATAGAATAAGGCTGACAGGGATAGGATGAAACTTGCTTGCATTTAGAATATGTAACATGATAACCCACTTTAGGAAACAAGAAGCGACCAGTGAATTCCAGATGTTATAAATTAAAAACAAGTAACACATCATGTAAGAAAATTATTACTCCTGAAAAATTTTCAGTTTTCTTAGAGCAACGGTCTGGATTCTCAAATGCAAATGAAAAAAGTTACTATTTAAAATTATCTTTTTCTCTCTCCTAAAATTGTTCATTCCTACCACATGCTTGTTTTTGAGTCTTCTCTTTTTTTCCTTCACCAGAATTTTGAACTTCTACTGTAGTAGTGGTGTCATCACTGTGGTCATTTAAGGATAGAGAACAATACAGTCTTTGTAGGAAAAGGCAGTGGCATTTATTTTTCAACTTGAAAAAAAGCATTCGAATTTTTGGATTGGCTTTTCCCATCTCTGCCATCTAGTCTAATAAACATAATCATTCCCTGTAACATCTTAGTCCATTTAAAATACGGCACCTGTAAGTGAAGTTCTCCTGATTTTTAAAGGCAAATGAGCTGGGAAAATTTAGTATGCTATACTGCTAAAGTAAATTTGTATTTGTATAATATATGCTGTTGTTTAAAGAGAAGGAGAAAGAATTAGAGGAAAATTACTAGAATTTACAAAGCACACCCATAAGCATTGGTTCTGCTGGTAACAGAAGGACAAAGGGAATGGTTTGAAGATGTCTGTTTGGTTTGGGATCTGAAGCTGAAGATCTCAGAGTTCAGGAAGTAAGTTCCTTTCAGATGGAGATGAGTTGGAAGATAGAATAGAATAGAATAGTTGGAAGGGACCTACAATGATCATAGAATCATGGAATGGCCTGGGTTGGAAGAGACCTTAAAGATCATCAGTTCCAACTGCCCTGTCGTGGACAGGGACACCTTTCACTAGATCAGGTTGCTCAGAGCCCAATACAACCTAGCCTTGAACACTTCCAGGGATGGGGCAGCCACAGCTTCTCTGGGCAACCTGTTCCATCACCCTCACAGTCTAATCTAATCTAAACCTACTCTCTTTCAGTTTGAAGCCATTCCCCATTGTCCTGTCACTACATGTTCTTGTAAATAGTCTCTCTAATCAGCCAACTGCTGACACTCCAGGACTGAGCAGAAATGAAAACCTATTAATAAGGGCATTGGCCAAATACTGACAGGCATTGGGCATCAACCACCTCTCTAGGAAGCCTCTTCCGGTGTTTCAGATGCTCTTCAGAAACACACCCAAAATGATCCAGATGCAAATGGGCATGCTGTCCCTGGGACCAGGTTAGAGCTGATCTGAAGTAAATCCCTACAAAACCTGAAATGCTTGTGGTGTACATGTCAGGTCCTCATCACTAGCTGTTTAGCTGCATTAATTGCTAACATAGAGACACCTTTTGTCCTGTTTTTCTGTAAAATTTGTCTTCAAATTGAGCTTTTCTTTAAACCAGTCTTGGGCCTTTTCTTACTGTGAGAATGGTCTTCCCAAGCCAGTGGGATTTTCTCCTGGTAGTGTTGTCTTTTAAGACACTTTGATATTCTGAGACCACTGGTGTTTTGCTGCTGCTCACAAATAGTCCTCTATAAAATACTAATAATGGCAAATCTTTGTAATAGGTCATGGAACCTTAGAAAATGTGAGGCAGGTCAGGACTTGACTTTGGTATCCTTAGGCTCAGTTGTGAGCACAGCTGAGAAACCCTCTGGCAGACATCTTTGTCTCATCCCCCGCAAGGACAAGCACTCTTTTGCTGTCATTTTCTCAGCTCAAGGGGCTAAGGTTTATGCAGAAGCCTGCTGCTGACACATGGAGGGCATGTGCCATGTCACATTGTGGAATTTGTCTTTCAGTTTCTCTTCAAAAAGTCTACAAAATGGGTTCAAAGATCACTCTTAGGACAGTGAAGCCAGGCGCTTGGGAGTGGGCATGTCAGACTTCCAGTTGCTCATGCAGCCTTACCTCAACTACTGTGTGCACAGCACCATTGTAATTCAGAGACTTCTGACTTTATTCCTTCTGTCTCTGGGTTTTCCACCTATAAAGTAATCCTAATAAAAAAACATTGTCATTGCATTGCAGTCACACAAAGGCAAACTGCAATCACTGAGCATTAATCAGTGAGCCTCACAATAGTGAGGTGCATAAGGGAGATCTCCAGCAGGATTTTGTAGTGTTCAGTAAAAAAATGGTGGCCCACACACATGAACAGTCCCAGTCTACATATTGTGCTTAGTACATCAGTCCAAGGTTTGTGGCCCAAGTTGTATCTCCAATTTCTCGATTGCTTGACTTCAAACCTTGATTTTACAGCTGCATCCCTTTGACTGCAGACTTTTTGTGTTTTTTTGTCTTATGTTTTCAATGTCATTAGAAGCTGTCTATCTTAATTTCAGACCTTTAGGTTAAGAATTGAAAATATTTTTTAAATCAGTAGATAATTTGTGGTTTATTAAAATTGTAGTTGCACTGTGGAATCTTGTTACTTTATATTTAGTCTTTTGTAAGCTAGACATTTTTCCTTTGAAATCAATTGAAAGAATCTTGTATTACTTCTATCGAAAAGGAGCAGTGTTTAAGGAGACTGTTTGGATGTTTCTACTGATACTTTTCCTAAAGTAGCTCCAAAGTGCTTAAGCTACGCAGAGATCTGTTAAATTCAGAAACTGAGTCCAGCTTTCAGAAATTTAGTTATCCATTAATTGTAATTTACATCAAAAAGATTAAGAAAAATAAATTAAGACATATGAAATAAGAGAAAGCTATCATATGAAGCCATAAACATTTTGGGTGGATTCTTTAGATTTCCTTAATGGGTTTGGATCAAATTCTTCAGGACTTATGTAAAGAAAGGTTAAAAGACATGATTGTGATTTTGATTAAACAGGTTCAGGAGGGGTTGGCAGTATTTTTTCCTAGCAATAAGAGTTAACAATAGTAGAAGCTAAATAGAAGAAATTTAGACAAAAATTTTCCATAGCTCAGAAAAAACCTATGAGGTAGAACCAGATCATACCATGATGACTATCTGTTGTGGCTGTTTCTATAGTGGAGTTTTCTTTTTGCCTGCTAGGTCTGTGGAAGATGGAGAGCGGCCCTTTGCACTAGGAATGCAGTTTGTTTTATTACGAACTCTTGGTAAGTCTTACAGTAGCTCAGCATTTCCATAAAAGCTCACCATGTTCAGCTTAAATGCACTATTAAAATACTAAACTTCCATAAATCTGGAATTAATTGCCTGATTACTGTATTAGGAACCTAAAATTGATAGTTTCTGAAAACATTGTATCTGAAAATGCAGTTATTTCTCTTTTTTTTTGTTACTGACTTTCTAGAACAACATTTTTGACCCAGAAAGATACATTTTTCCAGTTTCAAATTGTATGTAAAAATTAATAGTTACTAGAATTTTTTCTCGTTTAGAAACTGATTTTTGTTGCTTTCAGCAATAACAGTAGTTTTTGTCATTTTTCAAATAAGGAGCATTTGTTACTTAATGTCTTAATTTCAAGTACTTCAGAGCAAAAAGGGGTGCATGTTAAAAGTTTTATTCAATAAAGCAGCTTCTTTTAAGCTCTTCAACTCCTAAAATCCTGCCTATTAAGAACACTCCAGGTGTTCAGCTACTACAAAATATATGACTAGAGCAAGGAAGGACTATTCTAAGAGAACAGGAGGAGAAGCCCATATAGCTGCATCTGGAAGTTTTGTTTGAGGAAGGAATTTCAATCTTGTCTTAAAGGTGGTGTATTTCTGGAGAAAGCAGGAACATTCAGTGGACTGACTGCATTTTTAGCTGCCTTAGAAGTTAAGGTCTGTTTCTGAGGAAGATTTATTCAAAAGAAAATTGAAAATCCTAGTGGTCTCACCACTTCCATCCATCTTCAGTAAGAAAATAATTTTATGGTCTTTGGTGCTTTTTCTCCTTAATCTAAAAGCAGCACCTTTCCCAGCTCACAGGCAGTGGAGGTTCAGCAAGTAACGCTACAGAGAGACTGTATTTTACCCTCTCCCATGTTTTACTTCCTGAGAGCAAAATTGAATTTTCTTTGAGGGGCACATAGTTCAGGAGCTGTCTGGGGACAGCAAATTGAAGCTGTACCTATTGTAAGGTGCTGCTGCATTGTTTTCTTTGTTTCAATTCTCTCCCATTTGTGGTAGGTTTCATGTGTATAAAGTAGTGTTGGTGGGAAGATTGGCTGACCAGTTTTCCACGTTTTACATTTCATGTAAGAACAGCAGTGTAGAAATCTCAAAAATTTTCGACCTACACTGTTTGGCTAAGGCATATAGTTCCTTTACAAGTTTTCCACAATGTACTAACACATATTATTTCTCTTGCTATTTTTATTTCAGCTTACATTCCCACTCCGATTTATTTTGGGGCTGTTATTGACACCACATGCATGCTTTGGCAACAGGATTGCGGCGTACAAGGATCTTGCTGGGAATACGATGTCACCTCCTTTCGTTTTGTCTACTTTGGGTTGGCAGCTGCTCTCAAATTCGTGGGATTCCTTTTTATTTTCCTGGCCTGGTATTCCATTAAGTGTAAAGAAGAACAACACCAGAGACAGCGATGGAGGGCTTCACTGGTGAACACTGTGAGTGAGATGGTTGGACAAACTGGACCCCAACAAAACTATGCACGGACTAGATCCTGCCCTACCTTCAGTTCCCGAGGAGACACCAATGTGGCACAAGGAATGAACTGCTTAGAGCAGACATACCCCAGCCCTTTTTCAGAAGCAATAAATTCCTCAAATGAAAATGTGTTGGAAGAAGTCACTGCTGAGATATAGACCCCTGGCTTGGTAATGTAATATTTAATTTTGTTGGTTGACTTAATTACGGCGCCTTGTAAAACACCTGTGCCTTCTATTTTTAATCTAAATGTAACGTGATAAAACCAACAAAGCTTGATGCAAACAACCATAATATGTTCCTGAGGGCTGGATACCTCAAACCAAACCAAGTTCTTATTCCTCCCCTCCCAACAATGGAGTTTTAAAAATGGTGTTTGTAATTATTTCAGATGTGTCCATTAGATGTCCGTGCTCTGATCTAATATCATTGTAAAGATGAGGTGTTATGAACAGCAGAAGTCAGTGGAAGACTGACAAAAACTCATATTGTTGATGTTTAGACTCACAAGAATGCTTAAATGTATTGTCAACTTCATATCTGCAAATTGTATTTTTAAGAGAGTAGTTACTGTGAGTTCTGCTATGAAGCACAACTGAACTTATTTAAACTATGCAACTTATTTGGATAATTGTATGTGCAGCAAAATAAGTTTAAAGTTTGCTTTTAAAGACATTACTGCAACTGAATTTGAAAGGGGCTATTTTCAAACATAATCATTAAATTAAAAAATAACATAAGGTTTAAAGTACTGTTAATAACATGTCAAGCCATACAAGAATTATGCATCAGGTAACGTTTGCAAATGTTGAGTTGTAACATCTTTATCCTGTCAAAATGTGCATTAATTTTCATTTGATGGGATGTAGTCATTCTTCACAAAGTACACAGGCTAGGAAACTGTAATGCTTGAAGTAAAAAACTTCAGTATTAATTTATAGTAACATTAAGATGTAGGAATCATACACACATACCAGAGTGGATATGTGCATGTTTCTGTAATGTTATTTGGGTGGCTGTTACTAGCACCAAATCCATACTTTCCTGAAGAAAAAACCAGCCAGTTGTAGCTTGATAGGAAGAGTTTGGCTGTCCTTCAGAATTTTGTGTATAATTCAACTTCAGTGGAAAAGTCCCGAGGGGGAGCTAATGGCCTTGTCTCGTGTCTGGGTGGCTGTCTGGGACCTGATGGGTCCCTTGCAGCCAGCAGTGGCACACAGTTCAGGCTGGTGCTGTTTGCACCTGCTGCAGGAGTGAGTAGAGAAACCTTTCAAGAGAGCTGAGAGCAGCCTGCCCATCGTGGTGCTGGGTACAAGGCTCTCCCTCCTCTCCTGGCACCACTGGGGCACTGTGCACCCTGCCATCCAGGACAGCTGGGGAGGGGGTTCCGGCTCAGACCCTCTCATTTCTGCCACACTTCTGCCTCTGCAGCTGCTCAGTGCTGGGCAGGCTGGTGGCACAGGGCTGGAGGTCCTGGTTTTGTGGTTTGTCCCACATGTGGCTGCCTTTCCTTTTCTCAACTTCATTGAAAGCTTCTGGGAAGGCAAAGGGTGAGTTTACCTCTCCTTTGGCCTTCCAGGAGAAGAGCTAAGAATAGAAATTATCAGCGAGTATGGACTCACAAGACCTGCTGTGGCCTTTGCCTATTCCAAATTACTGTGGCGTGTTTTCTCCCTGAGAGACGCTGAGACTTTCTAATCAAATGTGTTTGGCATTTCATTTCTTGTTCTGAAGGCTTTGTAGTGCCATGCTTATGATGTACTAATGATGTCTCAAAGGGCAGAGAATGATTTCAGGTGGACAACAGGAAGTCAAAGCTGTATTGTACCCTGTAGGTGAAGTCTTAGAAGTGTAGGAAATTAAAAGCAGTTTTCACAGATGAATTGGTGATAGTCAGGTTTGGATTTTGCCATGTAGAGAGCTTGTGTGAAAATAAATAGAGCATAATTTCTACATATTGTTCAACAGAGTTATTCCTGATTTAAGTTTTCAATTTATAATATGTAAATTTATCAAACATTATATGGAACCAAGTCCTTGAAATTAAAGGCAGTATACTCTCCTTGGCATCCACTGAGTTGTCCTGGGAAGAGTAGGTTTCCCTCTCCACCTTTGCTGACTGCCTTTTGTCATCTCCTGGTTCTTCTTGAGCAGCACATAAGACTACCCACAGGGCTGCTTGCCCTGCTTGAAATGGTGGCTGCTTATTTCAGAATGTCTTAGTCCGTTTATGTAGTTTGTAACAATTCTCACTCTTTCTGTGTGCAAACTCAGATTTGCATACAGAGGAACAACATAGAGGAATATTGTTTTGATAATTTCCTACTATTCTGTCCATATTAACAGGTTTTTGGGGTAAAGCCTGAGAATGTTTTTGTCTCTTATGCAGCCACCAGGTATGCGTCCTCAGTCAGCACATGCCACCTGAGATGTTGGCTTCTACACTTCTTATCCCGAGAAATAAATTTCCTTGGCTCAAAGGTGTTGGGTATAATTTTCTTTTTTTGCTATAGGAGATCAGAATAGATGATATAAATGTTTCCTTTTGCTCCAGTCTCAAATGCTTGTTGCACCAGGAATTTCCTGCCATGAGAAAATTTGAGGCAAAGCAGTGGGACGAAGTGTAATTTCAACCCATCACCCATCCATTTTAATCACTTCCCCATTTTAATGATTATGGGGTGAGGTGAAGAGTGACAATCTTTTCAAATACCTCAGAAACAGAGCACTTAGGGAATTGTAAAAGACTAGAAATGAATCATTTATCCTGATCTTTTCTATTTCATGCCTTGTGTGCAGTTCTGTTCCATGCGAATAACAAGAGAGAGCAGATTAGGATTGTCAGGAACTAATGGCACTGATGCCAAAGAATGAGAGAAGTGACACATCTGCAGCTGCTGCTTCTGAGCTTATTTCAAGGGAATTCAGAGCTTGTTGGGATGGAGACCACTGATTTTTTTAGGAAATCCTGACCCTTCAACTTCTAAAAAGATTCATATTTTGAAATGTCTGAGAAACTGGAATGTAGAAGGAAAGATGTTAACTTTGGAAATACTGAAAAAGCTTTTCAATAGTTTTTTACTTTTTCTTTGAAAATTATATGCAAAACAAAATTCTTTACTTTTCAAACAAATTTGTTACTATTTTTGAATATAGATAATTTTGACAATTTGAGTAAATTTCTACAAAATCACTTAATTATAATTGGCATCCTCTGAAAGAAAGAAAACCCAAACTGTGGCCAGTTTTTGATTCATTCCTGAAGGAGGGTTTATTTGTGAGTAAGCTATAACAGTCTAAACTAAACCAATAAAGGCATGTAGGGGAAACACATTAACTTCCTGGAGAAGTCAATTCCAACATTGTAATTGACTGAAATATGGACTGAGACCTGCTGAACAAACACTATTTTCTGAGGTTGTCATTGCTGAAGGAAGCAGAATTGCCAGAGAAGTTGAGTGCCTCCCTAGCAGTAGTAAAGATCAACGTGGTGCTAAACCAACTTCACAGTAACTAAAAAAGAACTTTGCCTGTCATCCAGTGAAGGGACCCATGCTGTCTTCCTACTGTGAAATCCTTTCACCATAGAATATAAAATTCCATTAATTTCCGCCACCTTCCCTCTCTATCCCAAAATACATAAGGTTTGGTAGCAGGGAATACAAGAAAAGGTAAAGCAGGTGTCCTGCTTACCCACAGGCTGCTGTTGGTAGCAAACCCAAGTCACCTACCTACACTTAACCAGCCAGTGGTAATATGGAGCAACAACATCTGGTGATTAACTACAAGTCCACAAAGTGCCATCATGCCCTCATAGGAACAGACTGATTCCCTCTTACCCCACTTATTCCTGATTTACAGTGAGGAACGAGAGGAGAAGTAGCCTAAATAAATGGACTTGACTGAACAGGTAATCGTCCCTGCATAGCCTCCCATTTATCCTTGTTTCCTTAAAAAGGAGAAAACTTCAGAATGGTAAATGTGTAGCCATGGCCTTGGGTGCTCATGAGTGCAGCACCCTCCAGAGATGGTTCATAGATCATTGTGGGTCTGGAATAATCTGGAGAGTGGGACTCTGTGTTTCCCATTTTAGGCAAAAGCCCTGTGGTTTTGGTTCCCCTTCTTCTCCATGAGCCTACTGGATATAATAGGGTATAATTTGGAACTGGTGACATTTTATATCCTTTCAGTACAGTGTGAGCAGCTGCAAGAAACGTTGAATATTATGGTGCAATTTATATTTATTTGGAAACTTTTAGTTCTTTGGACAACCTATGTATCTTTAAAAGTATGTGTAGTAACATGCAGTTTCTCAGAACTTGCTGTTATGTAAGCAGAGTAGGGGCACAGATCTCCTACTAGGTATTAGAAATGTAAGTTTGAAAGGCCCTAAACTAGTTACAAATAATTGAGTATACTGATTTCAAAAATATGTTTGTTTGGGGGTTTTTAATATAGCTTATTAATTTGTAGTATTAACCATTAATTCATTATGGCTCTGATCCAGCAGAACACTTTAATATGTGTTTAAATTTATATACTTAAGTAATGCACTTAAAAATGATGCATGTATGTAAGTATGGGACTGAGTCCCATCTGCATTAAAAAAGGAATTCCTTTACCCAAAGAGTAATTTCCATGATGTGCTTTTTCCCCATGTGATAATTGTAACCAGAACAGCACAAAGTAGCACTTGAGTACTCTCCTGTGGCATTCACGTGTGGCTACTTATATATCTGGCAATGGAGGAAAGTTTTCATTTTCAAATAGAATTCAAATTAAAAATATTTTGTGGACATGCTCTAAGATACATTCTAGTTCTTCCAGCCATTCACTCTTTTTATGAATATCCGGCTGAAAACCTGTGTGTTACATGGGGAGATAGATTAAATAAGGGCATCTTTCTGACCTTAGAGCCAATGAAATTTCTCAAGTGATGCTGTAAGTTTGAATTGTGCCCTCTCACAGAATTTGGACCTAGAGGTTGAGGTGACAGATTTTCAATATCCCGCATAAATGGAGCAGAGCACTGCCTGCTCAGTGTAACTCCAGAGAGCGTGTCTGGGAGAGGGGTCAGCACCTTCTGTACTGTTCCTTTGGGGTTTTGCCCCAAAAGGCCTGAATAATTGCTGCCTTACTACACTTCTGTGTGTGTAATACCACAGCTCTTCATGGTGTTCTATTGACATAAAACTGAAGATAAATAAATAGGTCCAAAGTGTCTTATTGCTATTTTGGAGCCAGATTCTCAGCCTCATCAGTCTAATATTGAGGCTGAAAAACTGGGCCATACTTTCATTTGGAATTTAACAAGTTGGAGCTTTAGCAAGTGCTTGTTTAGCTTTTATACTCCATTCACTGGTTACTACTAATATTTTCAGAGATCAAATACAAAAAACTTCCTAAACAAATTTATCCTTTTCTGTTTTCTCAATAATGTGTCTTTTATAATGGCATAGGAGATGCCGTGCTGCATTGCTTCAGTATCTGGGTTCCCCCAGCTGAATCCATCCAGCTGTGGTTGCTTTCCAAGGGCTGAAAATACCTGGTAACAGAGATTTACCTGGACTGCAATCTGAATCACAGTTGCTTTGGACAGAGTGTTTGCCCCTTGTAGATTAAACCTGTATCAACACATTTCAGGTTCTTCACATACTGGACTTGATTTTATGGACACTTTTATGACTTTAAAGTGCTTAGAAGATGGGCAGTCGACATAATGGTGGTAGACTTGTTCTTTGGTAGAGAATTAGGGCTTTCTTTTTTTCTTTTACCATCTTGTTTTACAAATAACAATTCAAAAAGGTTACATGTAAACATTGTCACAGAGTTACCCATATCCTGTAGCCATATCCATTACATTGTACTACAGTTAATGCCTGCGGTTTTTAGCAGTCCCCCCTCCAGTCCTTAAGATACGATTTTTCTTTTCTGTTATTACAGCCTTTTAAACACAGAAGTAGCTCTGCAATTTCAAAGTAACTCCAAAGTTTTCTTGACTTCAAGTGTTACAAAATAGATGCTTATTTATCTGGGTTCCATTCTACTGTTCTAATTATTGCATTGCTCATTGTGTGTACTATATTCTCTTAGTTTTTCAATCTCAAACCAGTTGTCACAATGTTATTCTGTAACAATGTTTTGTTCGTTATATAGAATAGGTGAAAAGCTGTGGAATT